GGACTCTCATGGTGAACTGAACTCCCATGGTGAACTGGACTCCCATGGTGAACTGGACTCCCATGGTGAACTGAACTTCCATGGTGAACTGGACTCCCATGGTGAACTGGACTTCCTTGGTAAACTGGACTCCCATGGTGAACTGGACTTCCATGGTGATCTGGACTCCCATGGTGAACTGGACTCCCATGGTGAATTGGACTCCCATGGTGAACTGGACTCCCATGGTGAACTGAACTCTCATGGGGAACTGGACTCTCATGGTGAACTGAACTCCCATGGTGAACTGGACTCCCATGGTGAACTGGACTCCCATGGTGAACTGAACTTCCATGGTGAACTGGACTCCCATGGTGAACTGGACTTCCTTGGTAAACTGGACTCCCATGGTGAACTGGACTTCCATGGTGATCTGGACTCCCATGGTGAACTGGACTCCCATGGTGAATTGGACTCCCATGGTGAACTGGACTCCCATGGTGAACTGAACTTCCATGGTGAACTGAACTTCCATTGTGAACTGGACTTCCATGGTAAACTGGACTCCCATGGTGAACTGGACTTCCATGGTGATCTGGACTCCCATTGTGAACTGGACTGCCATGGTGAACTGGACACCCATGGTGAACTGGACTTCCATGGTGAACTGGACTATCATGGTGAACTGGACTTCGATGGTGAACTGGACTTCCATGGTGAACTGGATTCCCATGGTGAACTGGACTTCCATTGTGAACTGGACTTCTATGGTGAACTGGATTCCCATGGTGAACTGGACTTCCATTGTGAACTGGACTTCCATGGTGAACTGGACTCCCATGGTGAACTGGATTCCCATGGTGAACTGGACTCCCATGGAGAACTGGACTCCCATGGTGAATTGGACTCCCATGGTGAATTGGACTCCCATGGTGAACTGGACTTCCATGGTGAACTGGACTCCCTGTGATCAGCATCTGCAAGCCAACTAAAAAGCAGGGCCATTTACTTATTTTGTAGAACTTAGCAGACGCAGGGTGAAATTTTGATTAATAGCTTTCGTGACTGGCGGTTTGTTTAACGCTAAAAAAAAACCGCCACTTTTTTACGTTTAAAAAACGCCACTTTTTAACGTTAAAAAAACCGCCACTTTTTTAACAGTAAAAAACGCCACTTTTTTAACGTTAAAAAACCGCCACTTTTTTAACGTTAAAAAAACGCCACTTTTTTTACGATAAAAAACCGCCACTTTTTTACGTTAAAAAAACCGCCACTTTTTTAACGGTAAAAAAACCGCCACTTTTTTAACGTTAAAAAACCGCCACTTTTTTAACGTAAAAAAATCTGCCACTTTTTTAACGTTAAAAAACCGCCACTTTTTTAACGTAAAAAATCTGCCACTTTTTTAACGTAAAAAAACGCCACTTTTTTACGTTAAAAAAACGCCACTTTTTTAACGTTAAAAACCGCCACTTTTTTAACGTTAAAAAAAACCGCCACTTTTTTACGTAAAAAAACGCCACTTTTTTAACGTAAAAAAACCGCCACTTTCTAAACGTAAAAAAACCGCCACTTTTTTAACGTTAAAAAACCGCCACTTTTTTAACGTTAAAAAACCGCCACTTTTTTAACGTAAAAAAAAAACCCACCACTTTTTTTACGTTAAAAAACCCGCCACTTTTTTAACGTTAATAAAACCGCCACTTTTATTCAAATTTTCTTGCTGTGGTTTTCACACCTGATGATGATTGCTGCTTGTGTTGCAGTCAAAACGTCGTGAGAATTTTATTATGTTTTACATTTTTACTATTTTATCGTTTCCCTTCTACGTGGTGACTTTACCGAAAGAAGCAAGACTAAGACGCAGGGTTGCTTTAAACAACAAAATGTTTGAACCCTTCTGAGAATTTGCAATGGCGCCACTTGGGCAAGTGCTGCATCCGGGCTCTGGGTACCACCTTGGGGAAGATTCTCGGGCAATGCATTCACAGCAATGGCGAGCACGTGGAAGACTGATTTGGCTTTTTGAAGCTACTAACATACGTTTGTTATCATGTAATATTTGTTATTTTTCCATTAAAAACGATTGTCCCGTATTAGTGTTGCAAAAAATATGGGTTTTTGTTTTTGTTTTAAAAGCGAACCCCACTCAATATTGCAAGAGACGAGATGAACACCTCCCTTTAAAGGAGCCCCAGGTTTTATTTTTGCCGACCCGTCTCTCTCTCTCTCTCTGTCTGTCTCTCTTTGTCTCTCTCTGTCTTTGTCTTTCTCTCTCTGTCTCTCTCTGTCTCCCTGTCTCCGTCTATGTATCTCTCTCTATGCCTCTCACTCTCTCTGTCTCTCTCTGTCTCTCTCTCTGTCTCTCTCTCTGTCTATTTCTGTCTATCTCTGTGTCTCTCTCGCTCCGTGTCTCTGTGTCTCTGTCTGTCTCCCTGTCTCCGTCTGTCTATCTCTCTCTGTCTCTCTCTGTGTCTCTCTCTATGTCTCTCTGTCTCTCTCTGTCTCTCTCTGTATCTGTGTCTCTCTCTCTGTCTCTCTCTGTCTATCTCTGTCTATCTCTGTGTCTCTCTCTCCGTGTCTCTGTGTCTCTCTCTGTCTCCCTGTCTCCGTCTGTCTATCTCCCTCTGTCTCTCTCTGTGCCTCTCTCTATGTCTCTCTGTCTCTCTATCTGTATCTGTGTCTCTCTCTCTGTCTATCTCTGTCTATCTCTGTGTGTGTGTCTCTCTCCGTGTCTCTGTGTCTCTCTCTGTCTCCCTGTCTCCGTCTGTCTATCTCTCTCTGTCTCTCTCTGTGTCTCTCTCTATGTCTCTCTTTCTATATCTGTGTCTCTCTCTGTCTTTCTCTGTCTATCTCTGTCTATCTCTGTGTCTATATCTCTCCGTGTCTCTCTGTCTTCCTGTCTCCGTCTGTCTATCTCTCTCTCTCTCTGTGTGTCTCTCTCTATCTCTCTCTCTCTGTGTGTGTCTCTCTCTGTCTGTATATCTTCCTCTCTCTCTCTCGCTCTACCCCCCTTCCCCCCCACCGAATAATCCGCCACCCCCCACATCCAATGCCTCCTCCACCCCCCCACTCCGCCACTCCTAATCGGCCAGGCAGGGGACCTACCCGGCCACAGATGCCGAGACCAGCAGCCCCGTGGCACGGCCCTCTCGCCCGCTGATTAATTGAGAGGTTTGCACGCTGCGACTCGAGCCCTGTGTGTTTATAAGTGAAACGTCCCCTGGGGGTCCGGGTGGGGGGGGGGGGGGTTGTGGCGGTGGGGGGGAGGAAGAGGGAGGGGATTAGGGGCTCAGATGTGGAACACACACACACAAAGACAAAGAACTCAACCCACAGTATAGCCTTAACAGACCGTTCGGGGCAAGTGTTGTCCGCGGGCACATATGAAGGCCGGGACGGCACACGAGGGGGTGGGTGGCCAGCGCCACGCCCGGCCGCCTTTGTCTCCCTAGCGGGCGATGTCTTAACACACAGCACCCAGGTGCTCATTTGAGGCTGAGTCGACCTAGGGGAGGCTCGCGACCGGTTCAGATAGTCGTCACTGGGTGTTGGCCTTGAGCGGGAATCGAACCCGGGTCGCCGGGTTCGTAGCGCAGCGTAGCGCTAACCACTAACCCGATTCGCTGCCTCTACTGCTGCTACTACTGCCGTGGTCACTGTCCCCGTGAACTCCACTCAATGAGTCACTCTCCAAGTCACTCACTCACTCAGCAGGGGTCAGTCACCCCCCAAGTCACTCACGTATCGCTACTACTGCTGCTACTACTGCCATGGTCACTGTCCCCGTGAACTCCACTCAATGAGTCACTCTCCAAGTCACTCACTCACTCAGCAGGGGTCAGTCACCCCCCAAGTCACTCACTCACTCAGCAGGGGTCAGTCACCCCCCAAGTCACTCACGTATCGCTACTACTGCTGCTACTACTGCTGTGGTCACTGTCCCAGTGAACTCCACTCACTGATTCGCTTTCCACTCGCTCGCTCGCACACAAAGATCCCCCGCCAAGCCTTAACAGTGCTGCTAGCAAGAAGCACACGCGCGACAAACAACAATCACAGCAACAACAACCACCACCACCATTACACAACAACACGCACAGATAGATGAGAGGGAGAGAGAGGGACAGAGAATCGGGCGAGATGAATCCGAGCATCGGCGCTCAACTAACCTGGAGCCGAACCCAGGGGTGGGTGTGGGTAGGTGGGTGTGGTGGTGTGGGTGTGGTGGTGTGGGTGGATTGGGGTGGGTGGGTGGGTTGGCTGGGTGGGTGGGTGGGTTGGTGTGTGGGGTGGGTGGGGTGAGTGTGGTGGGTGGGGTTGGTGTGTGGGTGTGTGGGTGGGGTGTGTGGCTGTGTGGGTGTGTGGGTGGGGTGTGTGGCTGTGTGGGGTGGGTGGGATGAGTGGGTGCAGTGGGTGGGGTGGCTGTGTGGGTTGGGTGCGGTGTATGGCTGTGTGGGTTGGGTGGGTGTGGTGGGTGGGGTTGGTGTGTGGGTGTGTGGCTGTGTGGGGTGGGTGGGATGAGTGGGTGGGGTGTATGGGTGTGTGGGTTGGGTGGGTGGAATGAGTGTGTGGCTGTGTGGGTGGGTGGGTGGCCGAGTGAATTCGCGACATTCGCCTCGACCGGACTCCGTCGCGAGCCTTGCGTCTGCGACGGACTTCGCCCGCGATGTCCCTCCTCCTCATCCACCTGCTGGCCCTCTTCCTGCCCGCGCGGGACGCAACTTTACCGCCGCGACCACCGCCACCACCACCACCACCACCACAGACACCACCACCACCACAGACACCACCACCACCACAGACACCACCACCACCACCACCGCCAACGCCTGCGGTGGCTGTGACGGCCGCGTCCGACTTGACGAGCGATTCGAGTTGGCGTAAGGCGGACGACGTGGCGCCGACGATCAGGATGATGACGACGATGATGACCGCCACCGCCACAGCGACGGTGGTGGTGGCGGGGGTGTCTCACGCCGCCGCGGTCTCCTCGAGCCCTCGCGCTCTCTCCGCCGCAGACGCCGCGGGACGCTGGGAGGAAGCGGAGGGCAACGCGTTGGGGGGTGGAGGAGGAGGTGGAGGAGGAGGAGGAGGTGGAGGAGGAGGTGGAGGAGGTGGAGCAGAGGCTACGCTGCCAAGCCGCGGGGATACCAACCACAGCACGGCGTACTCTGGTAAAGTTATCCGGCCACGACACCAGCACCACCAGCACCACCAGCACCACCACCACCACCAGCACCACCACCAGCACCACCACCAGCACCACCAGCACCACCACCAGCAGCACCACCAGCACCACCACCAGCACCACCACCACCAGCACCACCACCACCACCAGCAGCACCACCAGCACTACCACCACCACCACCAGCACCACCACCACCACCAGCAGCACCACCAGCAGCACCACCAGCACCACCACCAGCACCAGCACCACCACCACCAGCACCACCACCACCACCACCAGCAGCACCACCACCAGCAGCAGCACCACCACCAGCACCACCAGCACCACCACCAGCACCACCACCAGCACCACCAGCACCACCACCAGCAGCACCACCACCAGCACCAGCAGCACCACCAGCACCACCACCACCACCAGCAGCACCACCAGCACTACCACCACCACCACCAGCACCACCACCACCACCAGCACCACCACCAGCACCACCACCAGCACCACCAGCACTACCACCACCACCACCAGCACCACCACCACCACCAGCACCACCACCAGCACCACCACCAGCACCAGCACCACCCCAACCACTCCCGCCAGAGGGGTCCGTCCCTTGGGGTAATGGCGAATCTGGGCGACCGCCCGGGGCCCCGCGCTTTCGGGGGTGGGAGGAGGGGTGGTTTCCCCCCTCCACATTTATAATTAAGCGTCACGCGAGTTGCTTTTTAAAATGTCCACGTGATGATGATGATGATGACGACAATGATGCTGACGACGATGATGACAACGATGACGATGATGATGGACGATGACGACGATGATGATGATGATGACGATGATGATGATGACGATTATGATGACGATGATGATGATGATGACGATGATGATGGACGATGACGATGACGACGATGATGATGACGATGATGACGTTGATGATTACGATGATGATGACGATGATGATGATGTTTATGACGACAATGATGATGACGACGATGATAGACGACGATGATGATGACGATGATGATGACAATGACGATGATGACGATGATGACGACCATGAAGACGATGATGACGACGACGATGATGATGACGATGACGACGACGATGATGACGATGATGATGACCACGATGATGACGACGATGAAGACGATGATGACGACGACGATGATGATGATGAAGACGATGGTGATGACGACGACGATTAAGACGATGATGATGACGACGATGATGACGATGATGATGACGACAATGATGACGACGATGATGATGACGATGACGATGATGACGATGATGACGACGACTATGACGATGATGATGAGCCACTTTCGTCTGAGCTACCATTCGTGATATCCGGGTCGCATTTTTTTCTTTAAAAAAAATTAGCGACGTGGCAGCTGAGTAGGGGGGGGAGTGCCGTGCCTGGTCAAATAAAAATAAAAAACTGCTTAGTTTATAGTCAACCAGGGTGACCCAATCATCACTCTCTCTGAAAGGTGGGGCGGGGGGGGGGGAGCGCGGGTCGATAAAATAGGTACCACTTTGTGTGCGCATAAAACAACGGCGATCTTCCTGTTGTGCGCCTCGATCCTCCCGCCATAGGAGTGTGGAGTTGCCACCAGCCAGGCCAGGCGGCCCACAACGCTTAGAGCCAGCGGTTCCAACTCCCGTTCAGGGGTGCGGGAGTGTGACCCCAGCCCCCCACCCTCCCCCCCACCCCTCCCCCCCCCCAGACCCATCATCACTCTCTGCGGGTGTTGGCAGTGGTCGATAAAATAAGTACCAATTTGCGGGTGTTTAGCCAAAAAGCATAGACGTTGCATCCCTCTTCATCCGGCACCGTCAGGATTTTTGCACACAGCGTTGGTGTACTGTCCTATGTCAGGAATATTTTGATGTTTTTTTCTCCTGGATTTTCTGTTTTGCACATTCACACCGAGATGTTTTTCTTGTTCGTTTTTTTTTTGTGATTGTTGCGGTTGCACCCGATTCAAGAGCCCAATGGCTCACAGGGCTATACCAAAATAAATGGAACTATGAACTATGAACTATGAACCGCCGTAGCAATGTGGAATTGACACCAGTTGTGCGGCAACATCGAATAATCGGCGACGCTGGCGATCGCTCCGCTCGCGGAACTTCCTCCCGCTGCCGCTTCTTCGACCCCGCGCTTATTTCACAGCTCCTGCGGGAGGGTGGTGGCGCGAGACGTCGGACCACCAGGTAAAATCGTCGATAGCCCAACATCAGACCCCCCCCCCCTCCCCCGCTGTGTTTATGTACATGTTGTTGATGTTGTTGTGGTCGCTTTACGATTGAGGTTTAAGGCTGCCAGTGAAAGTGAATTATTTTGCTGGATTAGAGGGCGCTCACTTAAGGCTGAGTCGACCCTAGGGCACGCCACGGGGCCGGTGCAGTTTTTTCCGTGACCAATGTTGGGTCGTGGCTTTTAGGAATTGAAGGGTGACTGGGGAGGTGACTGAACCCCTGCTAGGTGAGTGGCTGGAGAGTGACTAAGTGAGTGGAGTTCACGGGGACAGTGACCAGGGCAGTAGTAGCAGCAGTAGTAGCGATACATGAGTGACTTGGGGGTGATTCAGCCCTGCTAAGTGAGTGAGTGACTTGGAGAGTGACTCATTGAGTGGAGTTCACGGGGACAGTGACCAGGGCAGTAGTAGCAGCAGCAGTAGCGATACATGAGTGACTTGGGGGTGACTGACTCCTGCTGAGTGAGTGAGTGACTTGGAGAGTGACTAATTGAGTGGAGTTCACGGGGACAGTAACCAGGGCAGTAGTAGCAGCAGTAGTAGCGATACATGAGTGACTTGGGGGTAACTGACCCCTGTTGAGTGAGTGAGTGACTTGGAGAGTGACTCATTGAGTGGAGTTCACGGGGACAGTGACCACGGCAGTAGTAGCAGCAGTAGTAGCGATACGTGAGTGACTTGGGGGTGGCTGATCGATCGAGTGATCCACTGGCTCTGATCATCAATCGCCGCGAATGTCGCTCCACCCTTCACTTTATATTCTTTAAGTCGTCCGAATTTGTTTTTGTTTTACCCGAGGGAGTTTTATTTTTTTTCATGTTGCGGCTCTAATGCCCAACGTTGTTGTTGTTGTTGTGATTTATTGTTTTATTACTGTGCCGGTGTTAAGTGTTTTATCGTGTAGGCTGGCTGGCTATACCGCCTCGATCTCATGTGACGGATTTCCCTGGCAACACGGTGTGGCTAGGAGATGTTAACTACCTCGCCTGGTATGCAGGAGGTCGTGGGTTCGATCTAAAACCCTGAGGCCTGCTGTGTATTTAGAGTCTGCGTCTCTCTCATCAACATCATCACGTTGGTGAGATGTCAACTACCTCGCCTGTTGTCCAGGAGGTCGTGGGTTCGATCTGAAACCTTGACACCTGCTGCTGTGTATTTAGAGTCTGCGTCTCTCTCATCATCATCATCATGTTGGTGAGATGTCAACTACCTCGCCTGTTATGCAGGAGGTCGTGGGTTCGATCTAAAACCCTGACGCCTGCTGCTGTGTATTTAGAGTCTGCGTCTCTCTCATCATCATCATCATCATCATCACGTTGGTGAGATGTCAACTACCTCGCCTGTTATCCAGGAGGTCGTCGGTTCGATCTAAAACCCTGCCGCCTGTTGTATATTTAGATGTTGCATGTCTCTCTCATCATCATCACGGTGGTGAGATGTCAATTACCTCGCCTGGTATGAAGGAGGTCGTAGGTTCTGTCCCGATTGTATCACTCTTGATCTTTATTTCCTCCGGGACCTCCTGCTAGGATCTACTCGTAGTTTTTGGTTGTTATTTTTTTTTTCTTTGAACCTATCTACGTGACTTTACCGAAAGACCCAAGAATAATAATAATAACAATTCCAATAAGGAAGTAACAGAGGACTTTTCAAATGGAAAACAACAAAAAATCGCAGCCTCTGCGATTTGCCAATCGCATCGTTTCAAATCGCGATGTCGATTTGAAATCGATTGATCGTCCATTCCCCTGGGGGCCGCCCATAAATGACGTCACGCACCTAGTGGGCGGGGGCTGGGTTCAGACATTTGTGACGATGTGTGACGAGGGGGGGGGGGGGGTTGGGTGAGGTTGAGAAATGTGACGTCACATCAAAATGCGCAACTTTTAAAATAAATATAGACACACACACGTTCTACTTAATTAAATTGACTTTTTAACAAAATGTTTTCTCCTGCAACATCAGAGTGCAGCGCCACATTAAACACGCAACTACAATGTGACAATAGTTTAAAGCGATTTGAAGCATGTTTTATTTATATATTTTTTTTTGGGGGGGGTGGGGGCAGATCTTTGTGACGCCATATTCGAGGGGGGGGGGGGGTCTGACTTTTTGTGACGCCGTGTGACGAGAGAGGGGGAGGGGGTAAAAAAAACACCCAAAATCGCGTGACATCATTTATGGACGGCTCCCCTATGAAAAGATCACCGCGCCGCTTAGCCCATCGTGAGGTCATCTCAGCACCCCGGACAGCTCCGTCTCTAGCACCCCAACACCACCACCACCACCCCCCACCCCACCCGTCCCTTTTGAAGTTTCGCCACTCCACGATAGCGTGCCCACAGTTGAGGCCGAGTCGACCCTAGGGGAGGGCCCGCATCAAAACCTCGCTGTTGTATCGGTGGCCGGGGGGGGGGGGGGGGGGGGGCGGGGGGGCTTCGTAGCGTCGCGGCGCGCTAACCGTTGCGCCACCGATCGGGAGGAGAAGCAACGGAAGGCGACGTTTTGTGTGTAATTTTTTTGGCACCCCTGGTTACACACGCGCGCACACACACACGCACACGCACGCACGCACGCGCGCGCGCACACACTCGACAATAAGGCGACATCGATTAACTTGAGAGAGGGTGAGAGAGAGAGAGAGGGAGAGCGAGCGACTGAGCTGCGTGTCGTCTGGTTGGCGTCGCTCGCTGACTCGGAGGTGACTTTGGGTGTTGGAGTGCGAGCC